ACATGTGATTCACAAGGGAAACGAATTTTACTACCCCATAAAATTAAAAGTCCAGCGAATCAACACTTCCATTAGTGTTTAAACGTCGCCAATTCAAAATTATTTTAGCGTCTGCAACAAAAATAAATAGGTCACAAAGTCAGACCCCGCATCGCCAGCTTTGTATACGCATTGAGTAGAGTATGATCTTGCCAAAATACCAAAGTTAAAGTTAACTACCAAAAGCAATGTATGTGGTTTTTAGAATAAATACCACATTATTACTAGTTCCTTTTGTTTTGTGTATCGTGTTTTGTTTCGGTTTTGCTCAGGATGAGTACCTTTACCACAATCGAAACCATGCAAGTGAGCAAAAGAACAAACGATTCGTTTGGTTTGTGCTCGGCTGCCGTTGAAACATATCGTGTATTGTTAGCGCTCGGGAACGTTATAAGAAAAGGAACACATACTTTTCGTTCTTGTTGTGGCAATGGGTAGCAGGGAAGCCAACTCGTCGGGAATTCCCCGATTTGCAGGAATTAAAATTTTGGAATATAATTAAACACAGGGTGTCCCTGCGGTATTCCAGAAAAACAATTTTTTTAAACAAAATTTCAAAAAATGCCAAATTTTAATGGAATGAATAAAAAATATATGTAAAAATACGTTATTTTATTAAATAGTACGGACTTTTATTAACTACATGCAGAGAGTTGCCACCTGTTTAAAAAATCAAATTCCACTTGAATTAAAGGAATTAGGTAATTTAAATAGATAGGTATCACCATAAGGGAGTCACACGAAAGAGGTTTAAGAAGGTTTTAGCTTAAAAATATTACGAATAGGGTTGCCACCTGTTGTAAAGTCGAATTTAGTTAAACTAAAATAATAATTACGTTAAACCATAGGATCACGCCATCGTATTTGTTATTTTATTACAAATACATACGTTGTCAATCAGCGATTTGTTCTGATAACATTCCTTTTAAATTACTGGACTCTTAAATTAACTCGGGAATGTTTTTACGCTTCACTTATTTTTTTCGAAATATGTAAAATTTTTCAATTTTTCTGATACTCATATTGATACACATATTTCAGTTACCTTGTTCCCTTAATTAAAGTGAATTTGATTTTTTAAACATGTGGCAACCCTTCTTCGTGTCGTTTAGAAGTAAAGTATTTTCAAACCTAATTCAATTGATACCCATATTGTAATATCTAATTCATTTGACTTATTAAATAATTTTAATAAAATTTGTAACAGGTGGCAACCCTTTTCAAAAATAAAAAACTTTATTGCTCATCTACAGGCCAAGCCCTGTCATTTTACACCTCACTTTTGAAAATAGAACGAACTCTATGTACATACCTATGTAAAAGCCACAAGAACCCAAATTTTCAATTTCAAACTGCATTTACAGTGAATGTATGAAAGTTATCCAAAAACAAATTGCATTTTTGAATTTAGCATCCTCAATTTTAATAAGAAGCGAATTTTCATTTAAATCCGTCCATAATTCTATTTTTGCCCACATTTTATATGTGCGACTCACGACGCGGCAATTCAGCCGCATATGTGAGACACCAACTTTCAAATACAAATATCAACTGAACGATATAACGCAGTAGGTAACAGCTAACTGTGAACCATGCTGCATCTCAAAACTTACACAAGTCACTAAGTGGCAGTGGTCGGCTACTACAATTAGTATTTGAAAACCACAAATTAAAATTTTTGCGGCTAATTTGCCGCGGCGCGCCCTCCGAAGGGTTAACCCAGTTTTTGTATTTTTTTGATTATGACGCTATTGAAGTACATAAATTAATGGTATGTATGTGTATATTTATTTCACATATCAATTAGCTGCAAATAGCTCCAACTTTCTAAAATATTAAGATGTTGACGCAATGGAATAAATTTTTTTAATGTGTACGCATTTTCCAAATTTAACTTGATTTTTTTACGAATTAAATTATTAAAATGAATGCATTTTTCAAAAACGGCATCAATCGGGCATAGTACTCGTATGTACTTCACCAATCTTCATTGTTTGCGAAGTGAATGTTTTTCTCAGTAAAGTACTCTCATTAAAATCGATTAATATTTCGCTTTTTCCAAAGCTTTATATTAAAATTGGGCATGCGGGTCAAACTACACCCTTTTTCAGATTGCGGTGTCTCAAAGTAAAGCAAATGAGAATCATGTCACATTTAGTATATGCGCCCACAGGAGGGTAGGTGTTGCAGTACGCCAAACTATCATCTTTCCTAAGTGAGTTAACTATTTTTGGCCACAATTTATATTTAAACCGCACACTGTGCGCCGTAACCAATGTGGCCTGTTTTATCTAATATTTGTAGCATTATATCGTAATCATAAATTCTTAGGCCTTGGTATTTTTTATACAGAAATGCTTAAGTTTAGGGGATTCACAAGACTTAACATTTTTTTATGTAACATAAAATCTTTTTATGTTTGAAAGAATAATCGACAATTTCACAACGAAAGAACCCATTAATGAGTTCCTTTAAAGCAGCTATAAACTAGTTTTATTCATCACTTTTTAAAAGCTAACCAGATTCCTTCTGCACTTGGTTCTTCCATTGTGCTCGTGGGCCCGCTTTCTTTCGTTGTCAGGGCCATAGTTCTTGCGTTCTCTCAAAAGCCCAAAGCCAACTCATCTCTGTTCGACATCGTCCAGTTTTTTGCGCTATATAAAAGTAGGGCCATGATGGGATATTTGTAGAGGCTTTTGTTCGTCGAGAAGGGCTCTACTTTTGAATAGGCTACCGAGCCCAAAGTAGCACCTGTTGGCAAGCGTTATTCTTCGCTTGATCTCCAGGCTGACACCAAAATCCTCCAAACAAGAAATTTTCCTTTATTCTTGTCACCCTGAAAAATTAGTTTTTTAGCTACATAAACGTGTATTTAATAACACCAAGTAGTTTGAATATTTTAGAAAGTCCTCCGACTTGTATTAGTTAACTTTAATGCGAAAAATTCAACTTTTACATCCCGAGCAGCCCTACTCTTAGCATTCAGAGGAAATTGACAACCATGCCGATGACTAATTTTCAACAATAACTTGACTGTACTAAAAATAACTTATAACTTATAAATTTTCCGTTATATGTCATTAAGCGAGAATTCAAACAAACCGGAAATAAGAAATTTTTCCTGAAGGTGGAATTTATGTACAGACAAATGCAAGTTTTTGAGAAATTTTTTAATTTCATAGATAGCTCTCAATCCACCAGTTTGATTGAAAAACATTGTAACCATAATAGCAGGAAATGAAAATTTACTGAAATAAATATAACAGGTCAACATTAGTTTAAATTAGCATTATTTTGATAGACCAGGAAACATTTTTTGCATGTATTATTTGTGGGAATCTAATCGTAGTAATAAACATCGAATATGCGGAAATTTTGTCCCGTAGTTGTAGTCAGTATTTTCCCATCCTTAGACACGGAATTGGGACAGGTATCCCATTGAAAATTATGTCAAAAAGCTGCAATTAACTTTAGAGTCGACCTAATTTTTATTTTGTTTCCCAAATCCGTGTCTAAGAATGGGAAAATACTGGCTGCATATTAATAAGTTTGTTAAGGAGCCGAGTTTCTCTTCCATAGATGTACTGTGTAAAATGTCCGCTCCTTTCGGTGGATACATTTGGATACAATTTTCGATTTTTTATGGATACTTTAAAGGCTAAGGCAGTGGCAACACTGGATATAAGTGCCAACAGTGTTCCCCAAAGGGCGAGAACTTTTTTTGTATTGTCAGCAAGTGCTTTTCTTGTCCTCGTTCGGCCGGCGATGTTGATATCATCTGCATGCGCGAGTAGCACCGTAATTTTTCTATATATGCTTTCACTGCGGTTGTAGTTGGAACTCTTATCTCGCTTTCCCGCATCAGATTGAAAAAGTCTAAACCTAATATGCCCTTAGACGGTGCGCAAAGCTCCCTTCCAATTTAAACGGAGCTGAGTACTTTACTTACTGTCCCTCTACATAGCCGTGTTATCAAAAGCGGCTTTAAATTCGAAAAAGATGTATCTGCGTACCAAGGCCCTCTGCCTTAACATCCCATAGAACGCACTTGGTAATGCTGACTGAGATCGCTTTTATATTTACTTTTGATTGCTTTGAAAAAGACACCACCTACTCACCTCCAATTGGTAGAATTAAGAAATCTTTATTAGAAAAACGCTGCATGAAAAGATTTATTTAAAAGCACTCGGAACTAGCGCACGTTATCGGATCGAAAATTTATTTCCAATGAAATAATATATTGCAAAAATGTTATTTGTTTCTGAACCTTAGTCACACAAGCATATCTACATATTTATGCAGATTTAGGCAGTCATACACATATTTGTACATATGTAAGTAGACTATAAGTGCTTTTTTGCTTATAAAGCCTTTTAATATACAAAAATACATACATACGTAGTAAATGCTTTAAGTAGAGTAAACTATTTTTATGATTTCGTAAACTTTCATTTTATAATGAGTATCTTTAAGGCCCGTATGCAGCTCTAAAGAAAACGGTCAAGAAAAAATTGCCATTATTTCGTGTGTGTGTTCAAGGAATTTTGACATCTGAGCCTATTCCTCACTTTTACCTCAAGAAATAATGGAACGAGCATAGATTTCTGTTGCAAACCTGGGTTGCCTTGTGCTCTTTTTTCACAAAAAACTTTAGAAAATCGTAGAAAATTTCTTAAGAACTGCGTACTGCCTTAAGGAAATTTGACTCGAGAAAATGTCTTACCTATTTCTTGTACGTCATTTTATATGGAGTTTTTGCTCTTCTTGAGAGCTGCATACTGGCCTTTAATGTGAATTCCCAACCGGTAGTTTGTTTGTTAGTGCTTTGTCTCAATAAATATAGATATAGTTGCAAATAATAAAAACTTTAATAAAGCTTTTCTCTTTTTATGTCTATTATTTTTCTTACTATTCTTACCTTGTCGTTCGCAATGGAACGTTGATGGCAACTAAATTCACAGTTGTTCATGATAGATAATTGTGCAGACGATTGGCGGATCGCAATGACATGGCAACGAATTAGTCAGATAGGTTTAGAACTTTTTATATGCGCAATTCATCCGATCCCTGGTGAATATTATTTCCAATGGACGACAAAGTTGGCAAATAAAAATAAAACGATGGGCACCGAAATTGTGCCATATGACGTCGCATTATCATTGCCCATGTTTCTTCGGCTGTATCTAATATGTCGAGTTATGCTTCTTCATTCAAAATTATTTACGGATGCATCATCGCGGAGCATAGGAGCCCTCAACAGAATTAATTTTAATACAAGGTAAGATCAACAAAATTATTATTTTCCGTAGTATTTTCATTTTATTCTTACTGAACTTTCTGGTGTTTCCCTATTTCAATAGGACAAAATCGTGCGAGTAAAATTTGATATTAATTAGTCAGCAATTAGATAGGAACGACTAGATATATCGAGGACTAGAAATGCATATTCTGGTAGTGGCTTCGTTAAAAAATTCTGATACTGCGAAATTTAAAAATAAAAATTTAAAAGTATCCTATGAACGTAGATATTTTAAGCGCACAAATATATGTATATTGACATGTTGCAGAATACCCACCAACTTTTAAATCTATCCACATAGATATGCATTAGAGTGTGGCCATTAAATATATGGGATGTTCACAAGTATTTTTTTTTTTTTTGCTCAAACATTTTTCTGAAAACGACCCAATTAATTATCGTTCTGTAACTCTTAAACTAAAAATTTTAGGCGATGGGTGTAAGTAGGTATTTTTTATTTAGAATCAAGTGTGAAATATTTCTTTAATACTTATTTTTGAGGACCGAGTGAGTTTTAATGGTGTTTCAAGTAATAAAAGGTAGAATTCATGGCGAACTCATACAAGGTGGTGTAACCAGATCAGCTGATTTCAAGGCGAAATATGCTGACTGCCAAAATGATGAGATTGTTGTACAATTAATGTGTTCTGATTTTCATTGTGCGTATAATTTGTTAGTGTAGTCTTTTGTTTTTCTGCTGCTGCTATCACCTTATCGTCACTAGACACGAACAAAGGCGCGAGCTCAAAAGTTGACAGCGGAAAAAGACACTTAAAAAAGCTTCAGCGAAGATAGACTCTTAACATAGATGACGGCAGTGCTCCCGTTGTGCGACTAAATTCTCAAGTTGACACTTTTTGGAGATCGATGCCACCGACTTTTTAAAAATAGGCTTATTTTGAAACTTTTCTTAAAAATCACGCGACTTTTGCCCCTTTTCTTTGATATAAAATTCTATATACACATTTTGACTATTTTTTAATAAATTATATTTTTCTTGCGTGCTTAGAAAAGCTTTTAGTATTTACTTTTCAAAGACACTTAAAAATTACACCTCTAGTAAGATTTTGACTAATTTCAATATTTTTATTATGTCAAATATTTTCTGCAAAAATGTCCAGAAGTAGCATGAATTAATGCACCGTTTTTGTAACATAGCGTTTTCCCCAAGTTATTTGTTCTAAACTGCAGGCAACATGCAAATTAAATATTTTTTTTTAGTTTTTGTCTTGATTATTCACTTCACGGATGCTTTTTCAGTACAAACGCGGTCATTTTAATATGCGCGTAATTGAATTGAATATTTACCAATATACAGTACTTTCGTTGACGTTTATATTAAGATCAATTACGTTTCTATTTGATTTTAATATTTTTTCCCCTCAGTGTAGAGGTGATTTTATTTCGACTGTGAATATGCTTTATATGAATGGTATAAACCAGAGATGGGCAAAGTGGCTCCCAGAAGCCTTTTGCACTGAGGAGCCGACTTGAAACATTTGAGTGCTGGATGAGGGGTGACATCAAGAGCCAGCATGAAGAGGGAAGAAGAGTGTAATAAAATTTCTTGTACTCCGACTCTCATTACTAATAAATATGATACTTTTAATGTATTTTTTACACCCCCTTTACCCTGAGAACTGCTTTACGTCTTGCGTAGCACTTGAAGACACTTCTTTTCGGCTGTGACACTTTTTTTCCAACTTTCCAAAAATTTTCAGCGGTAACACTGACAGCGGTAAGTGACTGTATTTGGTACAGCAGTAACTGCCTATGTAACTATATAAAATTGTTTAAATCACTGTTTGAGATCAATTTAAGATATTATCAGTATATTTAAGTAATAATAAAAAAGTTAACACATTTAAGTAAAAAATAAATATATAAGTGCATCACCTATTCCATTTTGAGCGAAGCAAAATTATTCCTTCTTTTGATGGAAATGCGATCTTAAAGAAATTATAGCATTAAGGGTTGCGAAAAATTCTTGTTTTGCCCTTGAGAGGGGATATTTGTGATAAAAATTTAATTGGCTAACAAAAAAATTGTTTCCAGCATGTTCGGGACTTAAAAAAGACCGGGATCCCCGGGATTGACATCCCTAGTGTTTACGCGTCTTTCTTCGCCGTCAACTAGGTTTGAAATCTTTGTTCGCCGAAGTTTTCCTTAAGCGCCTTTTTACGTAAACATTTTTTACGCGTCTTTTCGCCGTCAAAACACTAGCGCGCCTTATTCGTGTGTAGTGGCGTTATATGAATTCGCTTTGGTAGAATTCATGTGTGAAATTCCTTTGAGTCACTCTCTTGTATTTTTGAAAGACATATAACAATTTTCTCAGCGTATTATTAAATAGAGCATTAAATGTACATAGATCAAGCTAAAAAAATAACTTTTTATACCTTTCATGAGTATGAAAAGGTATATGAGTATTAGTCCGATGTTTTTAAGCATAAGAAGAAGAAGAGTATAGAAGAACAGATAGACCCATAAAATTTTTTACCAAAATGATCAGGACGACGATCTTTGTCGACTTAGCCATGTGCGTATATCTTTCCATACGTCTCTATCAACGAAAATAGAGCCTCAGATTCAGACCTACAATTTGGTTGATGTATTTGTATAACTATAGCTATAGTTCCCATACAACTAATTGATTATGTAGGTAAGAGGCTTTGCGTTATAACTTATTCATTTAGACACCAAGAACCGTGAAATTTTCTGATCTTACTTAATAACAATTATGTTTTGGCGCTTACACTTTTTTTGCTAAGGGTTTGGCCGAAGAAAATCATCGAGGTCGGTACTCTATACGGTTGCCAGACCGTATCAGTACGGTACTAATTTTTCAACTCTTGTACTGATTTTATTCATTTCTTCAATCAGTACGCTAATGTCCTGCTTTTCAAAATTTGTACTGATTTGTACTGAAATTTTAATTTAAACAAAATACTTTAGCATTTTCTTAATGTTTTTACATAACGTTGGAACTACCTTAAACTGTACTGTGTAAAAATAAGAAGAAAATAATTTAATTATAGTTGACATGTTTCAGATAATGTTTGATATGCCCAAGAAATTAATACAACAAAAAGATCAATCGTTTTACGGGCATATCGCCGTGTCGTTACGTACCATTTGCGATAATATGATGGAGCTTAAATTATTTAAAAAGAAGGCTGAAATTTTTGTCAAGTGTTGTTAGTTATCTCCAAAATAACTTTCAGTCTAATAACAATAAGTTTGAATATTCGAATGGCTTTTGCCTATAACTTACAACTCCTTTTTCTTAATTTACTGACATTGTAAAAGAGTTTTGCATACAAGACATAGAGTTAGATACTGTTTTAGCGAATTCTTAGTCTTTCAGAGTTTTTGAGTAGTTGAAAAATTATTTAAGCTATGAGGAAATATAGATGAAGTCCTTTAAAAGTGGCACTTTTTCACAGTATGAAAAAATATTGCATTTTGTTTTTTTTTTTTTTAAATACCACACTCAAACGAAGCAACCGAGAAGAACTTAAGAATAAAGTTTGTTTCCTGGAGCAAAAAGAGAAACCAGCTTCTAATTAAAATGTTTGAAAGTGAATTTGAAATTAAAAGTAATCTTAAAATGAAATGTATGGAATTCTTTGTACATTTAGAGTCTGAAAATGGGAATGATCTCATTATTGCTATTCAAAAATGTCACAAATATAAAATAATTTATTGGCCCCTGTGTATAATGATGTGTACACTCATGTTAAATGAATGACATTTTTATTTTTTATGAACTATATTTTATTTATATACCAAAATACTGTTAAAAACACGTATTTTCTGTTACTTACATTCATGATTTTGCTTTGAATAAAAATGTACTGAAAAGTACTGATTTTTTTAGCATGACAAAGTCTAACGTACTGATTTCTGGCACCCCTAGTACTCTATAAGTTATAGATTCCAACTAATTGTTTTTTATTCATTAAATGTATAATGCCTTCGGAACATTATTAATGAATCATAAATAATTATGGCTTCAAATATACTAGTATTTAAGATTATACATATAACATATAATTCCACACAAATTTGACGCTAAGAAGCATAACACAATGATAAGTTTTGATGATGATTTTTTTAATTAAATTAGATTTAATTATTTTTTATAGCAATGTAGTTTATTTTTTAACACAAACCGTATGAATTCAAATTTTAACCTTTGTGTATATTAAAAACATCAACAAACTTTCGTAAAAATTTTAATATGTATTTATTAATTAATTTTAGTATAACAAAGTGAAAGTTTCACTTACCATTGATTTTTGGCATTTTTTTGTTGACCGGGTTGAGAATTCCTTCAAATAAAAAAATTGTCAAACATACATACGCACACACCTCAGTAGAAGAATTATATGTGCAATATTTCAACTTCAACTATTTAAATGAAAAACGAATACTAGATCTTTGATGTTTTTTCCTTATAGTTGTATTCATTAACTCTATGAAAAGAATATAAAAAACTTTATAAATATGCATTAGTTTATAACAAGCTAATTAAATTGTACCATTATGTTAAAATTTTCATATAAAATATTTACATATGCAAAGAAACAAGTTTTAGGTTATCGATTATTTAAAAAAAACTTGTTGAGGAGTGGATCTTACAAATCCCCAGTGGTATTAAAGACCATATTTGAAGGTAGATACTCTAAAAGAAGTCATTTTATTCCTTGAATAACGATTTTGTTGTTCGCACGGTATGAATAACAACGTTTTACCGCTGGAGTTTTCAAATATCTTGGGTCGAAATGAGCTACAGTCAGACATACGAATTTGTTTTTAAATCTTCAACTTGAATCAGATTTCTTGCATTCTGTGTATTTACCATAAAAAAAAAAAAAACAATAACTTTGTTTGAAAAAACCTACTACAATTATTTAAAGGCTCCACAACCAGGAGTGAAGATCTGTCAAAGTACTCCCTAATACGGCTTCCCCACA